ACCCTCGACCACTATTTGTCTCCTCCTATTCCCCGTCCTTCTCCTCCTCTTGCCTCTCCCATGACCTCCTCGCCACCAATCCTCCTCCTCCTCGCCCGCCTTCTTCTACGCGCCGCGACTATTCTCACGAGTTGCCTTCGAACAAAAATAGTTACGTGGACTATTCGCGAGGCAATTAATTTTTCAAAACCAAATTAAATACCATTAACATATTGTAAAAATAGTCACCAGCTTATTTTTTTATACTATTTCAAGTAGTATTTAATTCGACGTGTTCCTGCTCATGCGGTTTCGGTTTCCAATGGAATAGTCGGTGTACCTACGCTGCGTCGACGGAGTTCGCCGATAGCAGTCAGTTCGACTATGTTGTTGCGCGTGAATAAAACTATTAACAGTCATAAGGGCGTTTTTTTTTGCTGGGAACATTTTTTGACTATCCTTGGACTATTGTTTGACTATTCTGGGATTATTTTTTGATTATTCTGTGATTATTTTTGATCATCCTGGGATTATTTTTGATTATTCTGTGATTATTTTTTGACTAGTATGGGAATGTGTTCTGCCGATTCTGGGATTATGTTTTGGCCATTCTGGAATTATGTTTTGATTATGGTTTGTTGTGTGTCTTCTTATGTTCGATCTCTTAGGACGATGTGATTCTTTTGTGTTTGGTTATCAGTTGGTGTAATATGTTATACGTTTAGTATTGATGTTCCTCTCACATTAATTTTACATACGTTCGACCGCCTGCCGTCGTGCCCGCGCGCGCTAAGTACACCCCCCCCCCCTTTCCCGTCAGGCGAGCAGCCCTGGTCATCCTCATGTTTTTTTTTTTTTGCGCAGGTAAATTCAGAGTCGTTTCTGGTACGGGGGCCCCTCCCGTAGCTTAGATGGTTGATGTGCACGCGATGCAGACAATTTCGGTTTTTTTATTGCTTTGTACAAAACGTTATAAGGTCGACCACAACGGCTCGCCATGCTCACAAGAGGCATGCTAGCTGCGGGCCGCGAGTCATCTCCCCCTCCACCCTTTCAAGTATCGCGCCCTGCCCGATCGCACGATCAGCAGATGCATTTTTAGCTGTCAGGGCTCGCCGTTGGGCCCGAGCTTGGGCTTATGGCTTAGGGCTTAGGTAGCCCTAGGATGTAGGAGACGGGCGTAGGTTGTGGCAGTAGGTTGTAGGAATAGGCGCATCGGCGTAGGTGCAGGGCGTAGGTTGTAGGATTAGGGGCCGCAGCGTAGGCGTAGGATTCGGGGCCGCAGCGTAGGGGCAGGGCACGCACCAATTCATGTTATGTCATCATCATCACCCTCTGGAGGTGACCCCCTGGTGAGCGGGAAGTCAATTAAGCAGACAGCGCTTGTGCTCCAGAAGGCCACCCCCCTCCAACAGGCCGCAGGCCTTTTGGAGGGGGGTGGTGACTTTTATGCTTTATGTAGCCATCCTCCGACAGGCCGCAGGCCTATTCCCTCCACCACCTCCCTCCCGACCTCCTGCTCCATACCCCGACTCCCCTCCCTGCGGGCAGCTCGATTTGAACACTGCAGCGCGTGTAACTCGCGCGCCCGCGCGGGAAAAGGGCAATAATCGTTGCATTTGGGTAATGGTACGTATACGGTTAAGGGTATATGTATGGGCTGTTCTAAAAAAGCGGTTGGGAAATGTAAGGATAATCGCTTGATGGTTTAAAAATTGATTCGTGCGTTCAGGGTTCTAAGTGGTGCGCTGCCGTTGCAATGCCATGCATTGCTGCGCGATGCTGATTTAGCGCTGGCCTTCCAATGCGCAGAGCCACGGTTTTTGATTTCGCCAGTTGATGGAACGCGCTCTGCCAATGTGACTTTGTGCCTACGCCACGGCGCCCCTGCCCAAGTAGCACTGTTCCGTGCCAACTGCGCAAAAGGCTGGCGTCATCCTGCGTCGGTAGTTATCGTTTCTTGTTTTGAAGTGCTACGGTATCGCGCATGCGAAATATGGTATGATTTCATTGTGCAAAGGTATTTCTCTGCGTCCATAAACCGTGATTAAATGAATGTTCACTTATGTTTACCTACGCCGTCTAACGCGATACCTCGTCGTTACGGGGCCTCAATGATTCGCCTACTTGGAACTTCGATGTATTGAATGTGCGCTTGAATGTTATGCTGCAATGGTATGCCATGGTGCGGATGCGACGCAATGCTGTGCCATGCCATGCGTTCTTGAACGTGCTGAATATGTTGTTTCACGGTGGGGTGGGGGGGTGGGGGTGGCGGTTTTCGGCGGTGAAAGAGCTTCTGTGGTTTCTGAAGGTTCCAATTAGCCAAGGGCCTGGGCCTCTCAGGGCCTTAAGGGTTTCCCAAGGGTTCCACGTGGGCCAGGGCCTCTCAGGGCCTATGGGGGCTCCAGAGTTTTTCATGCGAGTTCGGGCTTGGGCCTCTCATGGCCTCAAGGGTTTCCCAAGGGTTCCACGTGGGCCAGGGCCTCTCAGGGCCTACGGGGTTTCCGTAATTGTTTCCACGTGGTTCCACGTGAGCTAGGGCCTCTTGGGGGATTTTGGTTTGTGCTGTCTGAAGGCCCCTGTTGGCCAGGGCCTGGGCTTCCTAGGGCCTTAAGGGTTCCCAAGGGTTCCACGTGGGCCAGGGCCTCTCAGGGCTTATGGGGCTCCGGGGTGTTTCATGCGAGTTCGGGCTTGGGATTCTCATGGCCTCCTGGGTTTCCCAAGGGTTCCACGTGGGCCAGGGCTTCTCAGGGCCTATGGGGTCTTCGAGACTTTCAGGGTCTGGGAGCTTTGGGTGTCTTGCGGTCCTGAAGAACACGTTCTGGTAACTTCGTTGCCAGATGGACGTGGCGGGCGCTCCGCGTCAAACCAACGGTGCATGCATTGAGCCTCGTGGCTTCGAGCTTTGAGCGCGGTTGATTCGCCTTCACACGTGCCACCACCGACGTTGTGCGCGCCAGTTCGGGCGTCATGTTGCAGCCGCCACCGCGGCCGAAACAGAAGAAACCGACGTTCCTCAAGAAGTGCAGCCCGTTCTTGAGGGCGAAGTTCCTCAAGTTGATGAAACAGATCAAGGTGCTCAAGTTTGAATTTCAGGCAGAGGATGAGGCTCCGTTTATTCCAGTTTCGGGTGGATTCCATGAAGCACATGGCAGAGAACACGTTGGATGCTTCTCGTGCCACTGCGCGCCTGGACGAGAGGTCTGCCCAGGATGTGCCGGACACCCTGCCAGCCGACGATTCCGAAGGAGAACCTTGAGCTCGAGTGCCACTCCTCCCTCTGCCGACGGTGTCTGTGCAGGCGATTCCTGCCGCCAGTGAGCTCCAGGTTTCTCGCTGCAAAGGCGATTGGTGCATGTTTGTGGCCTTGAGTTGAGTTGCTTGCAGCCCGTCTCTGCTCGTAACGAGAGTTCCGTTGCTTGTCAGTTGCTTGCGTCGAAGGCTGCTTGGTGGCGTGGAAACAATGAAATAACAACGTGGTCTCCCCACGCTTTTGCACCAGGACCACATCGTCTGTAGTGCGTTGTGCTCCAAACCAGTGGCATATATGTGCGTGGTCCTCTCCTCGTGTTCGGAGTGCGGCTGATTGGCGCAGTCGTGGTGGCGGGTGTCCTTATAGAGCCCCCATGCCACCTGCTATGGCACAGCACATCAGCACCAGTAACATCACATGCAGCATCACCGCCACATGACAAAACCTAAACGTCATCAACTACACAAGCATCAACATCAACACAAGAGCCCAAGCAGCGCCATTGGTTGTGTGTCACGCGTGCCGACAAACGCATCGATGAATATGGTGATGGCGAATGTGATGGTGGTGATTATTGCACATGAAGATATGATGGCGAATGAGATCGTTGGACTACGAATGCGATGGTGTTGACGAAAAAATATCTTGAAGATACACGTCTTGGGTACATACCGGCGTTCTCCATATAATATGGTAGGGAGTGTACGTCTCGTTGCCCCAGCCCTCCTTGAAGTGCTGCGAGGCTCGCTCGTTCCTTATGGAGGGGGAACCCAGCCTCCTTGGCACAGAGCCCCACGCTGTGCTGAGGAGCCTGAGGGGCGGGGTGGGGGCCTGGATGGGCCTGTCGCCTCCCCCTTGGGGTGCCGAAGTGCAGTGGCCACCAAGGCATGCGACCCCGTTGTTATGCTAGGGCCTGGGCAAACCTTTCGAATGCTACGATATCTAGGCCTATCAAGTTACCGTCCGTGCTGAGCTACGTTCGTATATGCTACAGTACGCGGTGGCACGTGATGCCCGTTTTATGTGGATTGCTAAGCGACCTATGCGCTAAGAGCTAAGGCATTACTTTGAAGTACAAGCTTGGGCTATGCTGTAAAATGCTACGGTGCCTCATGCTGTGCTATCTCACGTCCACAGCGAAACAAACCTATGCTATGCTGTGCTATGCTACATGCTACACGGTTGCTACGCTAGCCATGCTACGCTACGACTTTGCAATGCCATGGGAGACACGCCCTGGCCCAATTTCGGACTGCTCCGTCCAGCGCCGTCTGCGGGCCCGAGGCTTCAACGTTGTATCTGCCGATGCAGGTGCTATGTCTCTGTCCGTTCTTGCTTCTGGCGCTTGCACTCGCATCAGCCATGCGCGGTAGTAAGCGCGGCGGCCCCTCGAAGAGAGCTCCTTCGGCTGCGGGCTCAGTGATCTCGAGGGTCTCGTCGTCTCGCGGGAGGCCGCCTGGCACGACGAAGCGCTGCGAGGTGTGCTTGGGCCGCCCGTCGGACACCACCCTATTGTTAAATGCCATAACCAAGCATCCCCTCTCCAGGAGCCATTCTCACTTTTCTGAATTCGGCGTTGGTTGAGGCCTCCTCCGTTTTGGCCCCCGTGACGCCATTCCAATTGCCCCGAGGGCCTTTCCCAAGGACCAATGCCCTAGGTCCGTCCCTAAGAAATCGCCAGAAACAAAAATCACGACATAAGGTCGCAGTGCCAGGGAGGATAGTGGACGTTTCATGAGAAGTGTGTGGTTTGTTTGTCCTCAAGGATGTCACGATGAAGGACGACAAGGACGGCTCCCTCCAGAACTTCACGCAGGGCCGCAAGGTCTGCGTCAGGTGCTACACGTTCTGCCAGAACTGCATGCCTGGGATCCCACGTCCAGAGTCCATCGACATGGTGCGACGTGACGACCGCGACGATGTCAGGACAGCTTTGGGCAACTTCGACAACGATCAGAAGGTCAGCGAGATGGATACAAACGCGCTTCAAGGGTATCACGAAGACTACCGTGGAGCTGAACTTTATGTGAAGCACATCGCAACGATGGGGAGGGAGGTGATGAAGGAGTATGGCAAGGCTCCCAACACCCTCGGTCTGAAGCCCTTCGAGCTGGGAGAGACATTTGGCAACGAACCGATCTACCTGGTGAAACGCTGTCCTGAGCTGGAGGGGAAGTACCCTGTCATCAAGCTCTATTTGAAGAGCGGACACCTGGTGAAAGAATCTCCATTCAAAGGACCTCAGTACGCTCTCTTCGAAGGGCACGGCCATCGTTTGCTGGGCGGCCTCGGACGGAAGACGAGGACGGACACATATGGAAACAGCGCAAGTTGTCGATTGAATGCCTTGGCGGCCAACATGGTGTCTCACTCCGGGATCTTGGACAAGGTCGACAAGTTGAAAGCGAAGGCTTCTGCGAGGAGGGCTCCTGGCAAGGGCGCGGGCGACAGGGGCATCTACGAGGACGAGGGGGCTTGCGGAGACGACGGCGACACCGAGGTGGAGGAGGATCTTTGCAGCGATTTGGATGGCGTCAGCGGCGGCGGTGCAGCGCCCAGCGCGGCTGCCTCTGTGGCGTCGGGAGGTCTATGCAACACGCCGTCCACCGTAACGAAGCGGAGTCGAGATCTGGAGTCTCTGGCAATTAGGTCTGATAAGAAGCAGAAGTTAGAGGAGGAGGTTGAGGGCAATCCGCATGCAGTGGGCACCTACCAGTACTGGGTTCACGAGCTCAAGTTCGAGAAAGCGTTCGACGGAGACTCCCTTGGAAGGCAGCTGCGACAGTCCAAGGAGAAGTTGCCGAAGCTGCCCGACGACCAGAAGGCGATCCTCAGCAGGAGGGTGGGGTTGGCAGAGATGGCGGTCAAGCTGAGCTACAAGAAGATAGAGAGCATGAAGGACAGTGGGTTCTTGGCCAACTGGCAGCCGTTGCAGAAGGCTGGGGCGAAGATGACCACCAAGATGAAGGTTGCGCTTTACCGCAGGTACGTGCAGAATCTTTGGGAGTCCTTCATGGTTCCATTTCAATCAACCTGGGGCAGATTGAGAGCTTGATCAAGGCAACAGTGCTGTGGTATGAGCCTGCTCACAAAGCGAAGCTGATTAACGAGTTTGACCCACTTCGTCCTACGCTGATCGGCATTGGTGCTGGCGACGGCAAGACTGCGCAAGTGTTCATGGAGTCGATGTTCGGAAAGAATTTCATGAAGCTAATCGAGATGGGCGACGGTGGAGATTTCATCCTGAAGGACTTCCACACTACCACGACGCGCATGTGGTCCATGACGGAGGATGCTGAGATCGGCGATGCGTGTGCCACCCTCCACGTGGAGGCGCTGAAGGTGATTGGCGTGCTTGTGGGCGTGATGGACACCAGCGTCACCATGGACACGGACTTCCACACGGTTTCCGAAGTGAGGGAGTTTGAGGCGCAGGCGTGCATCACTGAAGGCGTTGAGGGTACACACATGCTGGCATTGATGCACCTCATCCTCGGCTCACCTTCTTCCCCCCTGTGGGTGGGCGAAAGGGAGTGAGAGATAGGGGGCGTCAGTCCAGCATTGCGTGTGCCTTCACAAGGGGGCCAGAGGCCAATGAACATCGCAGCGATGGCTTGCATGAAGGACAAGAGTTGGGAAACGAGGATCACGACGAAGCTTCAGTCGAGCGAGCTCATGATCCAGCATGGCCCAGCCATCAAGAAAGGCATCGTCGATATGAAGGCGTTGTCTGATGGTCCGACCCAAGAAGCGGCAAAGGTGCTTGACAAGATCAGCCTCGACGTGCCGTGCTGGGAGTCCGTCCTGCCCAGGGATGCTTCGAGCGTCGCGAAGATGGAGCTTAAGGACCAGACCCTCAAGCGAGCTCAGGTGCTGCTCGACGTGGACGCCGACGGAAAGCCGACATGTGGCCTTGCCAAGGCCACTCGTGACCTCCGCCTGTCCGAGTATCAATCCGTCGTGAAGAACGTGGCCAAGTTGTTTCCAGGGGACACAGGTTTCGCACGCGCGTTGCTTGGCATTTCGAAGGCGCTCGCCGAGATGGACTTGTCGTCGAAGTTCGAGATCTTGCAGGAGGCGGCGAACGGTTGGAAGGGCGACGCCGACAGCACAGTGAAGTTGAAGGACGCCGTCAACGCTTGTGCGAAAAAGGAGTTGCCGAAGGATGCCAGGGAGTCGCTGGAGGCATTGCTGGTCAAGCTCTATTCCGCGGTCAAGGCAGTTGATGGACCTGGCCCCCTACCGGCCTCAGCTTCTCCTGAGCACCATCGCGCCACCGCCATGGCGATCTGCGCCGAGAAGGTGGGACATATTAAGTTCGTCCACGTGGCGGAGCTGCTCAGCTCTTCGTCGAGGCTCGTCGGACTTGCGAAGAAGCTAGAGGACGACGTCCAGCAGCAGACCGCAAACGTGGAGAAGGCGCTGCGGGAGGCCCACCGATGCCTTCAGAAAAACTGGCAGGACATGACCGTCATGGCACCGTACTGGGACGATGGCGACACGATCGTGAAGGACAAGGCTAGCCAAAGTCACAAGGATGCCAAGGCCGTGACTGAGAAGGCGGGGGCCCTCGCACGACAGCCGCACTTGGACTCCGCCAGCTCCATGACAGCGAAGTTGCGCAAGGAGATCGAGGAGCACCCGTCCACAGAGCAGTGGCTGGAGGCCATGAAGACATGCACCACCACCGACGAGCTCAAGGCAGAGTTCCCCAAGGCCTTCCAGGCGGCGCCTGTGCACGCGTGGAAGAGCATCGCCGACGACATCCACAATGAGGTTGACGCTGCGCAGAAGAAGACGAAGGATTTCGATCTAGCGCCGATCGACGACGTGATCAAGACATTCAATGAGGTGAAGGGTCAGGCCCGAGCGTGCTTCATCACGCACTCGCTGATGACGAACGTGACCGACCCGAGCCTTCTGCGCAACCTGATGGAGATGAGGAATAAGATGCGTGAGATTCAGACGATGCTGCGCGAGTGGGAGATAACGCCAGACCAGATCAAGAACAATGCATTGTTCGAGAGCTACACGAACGCGCTCAAGATGAAGCCTACGTAGGCTTCGTGGGCCTGCAGCTTCGTGGCTTCGTGGGCCTGCAGCTTCGTGAGCGTGCAGCTTCGCGGGCGCTCCGTGGGCCTGCAGCTTCGCGGGCGATGCAGTTTCGTGACTGCTGCAGCCCTGTGGGCCCGCAACGACGTGCCTGTCTTTCGGGGCCTGGCCGAGAAAGGGGTGGCAGGGCGATGATGAGGAGTGCAGTTGGCATGGAGGGGGTGGGAAGGAGGACGAGGGACGACGCCGCACTTCTCTCGTGCCATGCTAGCCCCTTTCAAGCACTCGGAGCTCGAAGGAGTTCCATGCGCGTGGATTTTGGCCGTCGCCTCGGCCAGAGACAAGGGCGACGGGCAGTGCTTGTCCAGCCACTCGTTGAGATAGAGCGGTGGTCACTGTTTGAAGGGAGGGAAAGGTAAAACTCGAGGCACGCACGGCGCCCCAGATGCCGAGACACGCCCCAGTGGCACGGTTACGAGACCCATGCAGTTCCCCCCAGAGACTCCAGAGGGCCTCATAGATCAAGAGGGCTTCAACGAGCCCCCCCCCTCTAAGGCAGCCCCAATGGGCCGTCGCACCTCTGCCAACACTAAGAATGAACGCCAGCGCGATCCATGAGAGCACACCCCTAAGCTACCACTTAAGACTTAATGGTTCCCAGTTGAACTCCGTAAGGTAGCGCGCCCAGAGGCCCACACGCCTGTGTATTCTACTGCAGCTACTACTCCTACTACTAGTACCTATTGTTAGAATTCTAGCTACTATTACTAGTAGTAGTAGTACTGCTACGACTACCGCTACTAGGAATATTATTGTTATCACTATTACTACTACGACTACATCCTAAGGCTCCCCTCATCTAGGTGCAACCCAGATTCACCTGTAGTAGTAGATGTCGCACACGGTCGGGAAAGATAGCTGTTTTTTCCCGGAAAGGGCTGGGGCCCAGGGTTCTCTTTTAGTTTGTAAACTTAATCCCCCGGTGCCAACTTGAAGGAGGCCGGCGAATTTTTTCCCTGATAAATAACGAGGTCGAAGGAGGCCGGCGAATTAAAATTTGAGGATGTCTCGAGCGAAACGCTTGTTTTTGAAATCCCGATCGATAAATCACAGGGTGCGGGCCACTTTTTCGTGTGTTGAGGATGTCTCGAGCGAAACGCTTGCTCCGCAGAGTTTGCCGAGGATGTCTCGAGCGAAACGCTTGTTTTGCAGAGCCGACCGCGACGCGGAAAAGCGCCCCGCGCGAAGGAATTTCGATGATGTCTCGACTAATTCCTTTGTTTTTGTACGATTTCCTGGAATTTTGGCAGGATGTCTCGAGCGAAATGCACGACCCCACCCTAGCACGACCATACCCCAGCACGACCACACCCCAGCACGACCAGACCCCAGCACGACCCCACCCCAGCACGACCCCACCCCAGCACGACCATACCCCAGCACGACCACACCCCAGCACGACCCGACCCCAGCACGACCCTACCCCAGCAAGACCACACCCCAGCACGACCACACCCCAGCACGACCTCACCACAGCACGACCACACCCCAGCACGACCACGCCCCAGCACGACCACGCCCCAGCACGACCACGCCCCAGCACGACCACCCCCCAGCACGACCACCCCCCCAGCACGACCACCCCCAGCACGACCACCCCCCAGCACGACCACACCCCAGCACGACCACTCCCCAGCACGACCACACCCCAGCACGACCACACCCCAGCACGACCACACCCCAGCACGACCACACCCCAGCACGACCACACCCCAGCACGACCCGATCGATAAATCACAGGGTGCGGAGCACCCCAGCACGAACCCACCCCAGCACGACCCCACCCCAGCACGACCCCACCCCAGCACGACCACGCCCCAGCACGACCACACCCCAGCACGACCACACCCCAGCACGACCCACCCCAGCACGACCACACCCCCCAGCACGACCACACCCCAGCAAGACCACACCCCAGCACGACCGCACCCCAGCACGACCTTACCACAGCACGACCACACCCCAGCACGACCACGCCCCAGCACGACACGACCACGCCCCAGCACGACCACGCCCCAGCACGACCACGCCCCAGCACGACCACACCCCCAGCACGACCACCCCCCCAGCACGACCACACCCCAGCACGACCACCCCCCAGCACGACCACACCCCAGCACGACCACTCCCCAGCACGACCACACCGCCTTGGTTGAGTGGTTGCCTGTCGTCGTGGAATGTTTCGTGGGGTGTCTCGTGGAATGTTTCGCGGGGTGTCTCGTGAAATGTTTCGTGAGGTGTCTCGTGGAATGTTTCGTGAGGTGTCTCGTGGGCTGTTTCGTGAGGTGTCTCGTGGGATGTTTCGTGAGGTGTTGCCCAGTTGGGTATCATGAAAACGTGTCCATGCTCCACATGTCTATATCCCTTTCCGGGTTCGTGGGTCCATCATGTTTGTTTTCGGGTGGGCGGGTTGGCGCAAGCCCATGTAAGGAACGACCATGCGCAGACATCGCCACCAGAAACCTTCCAACCGCGACCTCGAACCTGCCCAATTGGCAATCGAACTCACCCACGTGAGTCCAGTTTTTTCATGATCGCCAGCCTTGCGCTGCCCAACTGCCTATTGCATCATGGCCTCGGAACGTTTCAAATGTAATCCAAGATTCCCAGGGGGGCGCCCAACTCGTCTTTGGGATGCGCGTGCTTGAACTTCCACTGCGCCCTTCCCCCATCCCTGGGTCTTCTCTAGGGCCCCGCTGTGTTGCACTTGGGTATAGCCTTGGGAGTTTGGGGCAACGGGTGGGCCATTTTGATGTGAAGTAGGGTCTTCTTGGAAACGGATTGGGCAGTCATGTGGTCTCTTTTGGCGCATCGGGGCGTCTTTGGCCGCCTTGTAACGCTAAAAAGTGAAGCGGCTATATCGCTCAACCAATGCACCCCAAACATCCAGCCCCAATTCAGGCATAAAAGCATCTAGCCCTGCTTGCTTGGGGGGATACATAAAATCATGCATCCAATTTACCTAGTCCCAGCCTTGTTCATGATCGTGTCTGTGCAGCGCAATAGCTGATACTGTGCATTGACGACCGCTGAATAGGTTTGTATGTAGCCTTTGCGGTGCATAAGCAAAGCCTTAGAAGCAAACCGCCATCAGCAAACCGCCAATAGCGAATAGACGCCCCAGTAGCCGATTATCTGCACACGTTGAAAAATAATATTAGTCGCAAGTGAATTAATACTATTTTTTAAAATTATTTCTAGACTATTCTAACATAGCGTTTACAACATGAGGGAATAGTATTTTTAGTTCCCGGAAAGGGCTCCGGCCCAGGGTTCTCTTTTAGTAGGTAAACCTGTCCCCCGGTGCCAACTTGAAGGAGGCCGGCGAATTTTTTCCCTGATAAATAACGAGGTCGAAGGAGGCCGGCGAATTAAAATTTGAGGATGTCTCGAGCGAAACGCTTGTTTTTGAAATCCCGATCGATAAATCACAGGGTGCGGGCCACTTTTTCGTGTGTTGAGGATGTCTCGAGCGAAACGCTTGCTCCGCAGAGTTTGCCGAGGATGTCTCGAGCGAAACGCTTGTTTTGCAGAGCCGACCGCGACGCGGAAAAGCGCCCCGCGCGAAGGAATTTCGATGATGTCTCGACTAATTGTTTGTTTTTGTACGATTTCCTGGAATTTTGGCAGGATGTCTCGAGCGAAATGCACGACCCCACCCTAGCACGACCATACCCCAGCACGACCACACCCCAGCACGACCAGACCCCAGCACGACCCCACCCCAGCACGACCCCACCCCAGCACGACCATACCCCAGCACGACCACACCCCAGCACGACCCGACCCCAGCACGACCCTACCCCAGCAACGACCACACCCCAGCACGACCACACCCCAGCACGACACACACCCCAGCACGACCACGCCCCAGCACGACCACGCCCCAGCACGACCACGCCCCAGCACGACCACCCCCAGCACGACCACCCCCCAGCACGACCACCCCCCAGCACGACCACCCCCAGCACGACCACACCCCACACGACCACGACCCCAGCACGACCACACCCCAGCACGACCACACCCCAGCACGACCCCACCCTAGCACGACCCCCACGCACGACCACACCCCAGCACGACCCCACCCCAGCACGACCCCACCCCAGCACGACCACACCCCAGCACGACCACACCCCAGCACGACCCCACCCCAGCACGACCCCACCCCAGCACGACCCTAACACCCCAGCACGACCACACCCCAGCACGACCTCTCAGCACGACAGCACACCCCAGCACGACCCCACCCCAGCACGACCCACACCCCAGCACGACCCCACCCTAGCAAGACCACACCCCAGCACGACCACCCCCCAGCACGACCACCCCACAGCACGACCACACCCCAGCACGACCACGCCCCAGCACGACCACGCCCCAGCACGACCACGCCCCAGCACGCACACAACCACCCCCCAGCACGACCACCCCCCCAGCACGACCACGCCCCAGCACGACCACCCCCCAGCACGACCACACCCCAGCACGACCACTCCCCAGCACGACCACACCGCCTTGGTTGAGTGGTTGCCTGTCGTCGTGGAATGTTTCGTGGGGTGTCTCGTGGAATGTTTCGCGGGGTGTCTCCTGGAATGTTTCGTGAGGTGTCTCGCGGAATGTTTCGTGAGGTGTCTCGTGGGATGTTTCGTGAGGTGTCTCGTGGGATGTTTCGTGAGGTGTTGCCCCGTTGGGTATCGTGAAAACGTGCCCATGCTCCACATGTCTATATCCCTTTCCGGGTTCGTGGGTCCATCATGTTAGACTATTTAAGTTGGTTTAATTGGTTTGCAGTTCCTAGCGGTAAGCTGCCATTGCAAGGCTAGCCTGCTCGCTTTGCTCCGCAAGCTCGCGATCCCATGTGTTGTCGAGAACCCGCGCTCGAGTTTATTGTGACCTGTTCGTGCTTTCGACCTCCTCTCGCGGTCGTCGAATATCCAGTGTTGCGT